TTTTAATTATCTGACTCTACCCCTTCTCGCCTCTTAACGATGGAAGAATTTACAACTTTAATTTTGGACATAGGGCATCCGTGCACTTTCTGTCATCCTACTCCCGATCAGAAAAATAGCGCTTACTAAAGAATTATGTCAGGGTCCGACATTACCCAGTGGGTTCTACCTTTTTATTTATATTAAAAACATCCAGCGGTTTCGACAGTTATCTTATTGTAATTTACCACGTTCATGTAATCATCGTATTGAATTTTTGTAACTTGCGGTTGAGAAAGACCAAGTAAGGTCGAAACGTACCGCTGTGCTTACGAGTGTCGTAATAAATTAATTATATGTACAGTAACACCCAGTCGTGCTCGTATATTTGGCCGTTTTCCGTCTTTTACTGATTAAATGAGCAGTTTATAACAATAGTTATTTTAAGAAATTAAAATTGTAAGTGCAACTATAAATACAGAATAATAAATAATATCATTTAATAGTTAATATATTTTGTGAAACAAAGTTGAATTGTAAATGCAACTGTAGATGGATATAGAATAATAAATACTATAATAGTATGTACTGTGATGTTTTTCGACAACGTCCGTCACAAGGGCTCATTAGCCCGACCGCAAAGGCTGAGTGGATCCTGCGTTCTCCGATTTTCGAGGGCAAGCGCATTTACGATTTTGCCACGTTCCGCGACTAAAATTTTGCAACAGAATTAAGCTATTAGATCTGCCACCAACTGAAATAGGCGAGGGACTGCGAGATGCTTGTACGGAAACGTTGTCTCACCGGCTCAGCAAGACTCCGACGGACGCACCAGCGGTGACCTGGACGTGCGCTCAGCGAGACGGGAGCACAGGTCACGTAACTACTCTTTCTTTTTTCTTTCATCACGGAGCTCTCTTACTGCTGTTCCCTTTTACAGAGTTTTCGGAGCGAGCCGACGGCCCTGCCAAGAGCTCCAAGGGCGCAGGAGAGCTGACACCATGGCTCACTTCACATTTCAAGGGCCAGGAGCCCTCCCGGCGAGTCAACATTGAAATTACGCGCCCGTTATCACGGGGCCCGCGACTAACGCTACCCTCCTGCGGCGCAGGGGGTCGCGAAAGAGGGACTCACGTGACAGGAAGAGATTGCGGAAACCGGCAGATGGTCCCGCTACCAACGTGCTCCCGGCGCTGCGAAGGACCGGCACTTGTGCCGTGATCGTCGTCACTACCAGACGAAATTGCTGTAAAGGACGCAGAATCCACCACCGAGCCTAGAGTCGAGGAGAGTGAAGTTGAGTTTCGAGAAGTTAGAGGAGCGAGGAGCCGGAGAGCATACGGTGAGACGAACGTCGCCCGTTTTGTAAAAACGCCAGTTCCGCGAGACGAAAGGGCCGTGCGAGAGTAGCGATTCCTTCTGCGTAACGGCCGTGAGTGCCGTGTAGAATCACGTTGCGAGTATTGCGTATTCCACGAACTAGAGCTTGCACCGCCCGCTCGATCGTTCTACGTTAGAGTCATTCGAGTTGTCGCCTTTGCGTTCACCCTCGTCCGGCCGAGTCACCGCGTCGTGTATCATGTAATTGTAAATCGCGAGAGCGTCCGTCCTGCCGTTCCGTATGTTCCGGATATTAGAATCTCCGTGTATCGTGAACTGAATTCTGTGTCGGGAGCGTTAAACTTCCTCGTGTCGCGAGAAGCGAATTTCGCCGTAGATTTCGGGCCGCGTACCCTTGCACGCCGCGAACGCGTGAGCCGCGTGCGCCCGCGCGCCGATCGCCGTTATAATCGTATCGGAAGTCAGGATTATCTCGGAAAATTATATCAACTCGTAATTACATTCGGGAAGACGGAATCGAACGATAACAACTCATTGTACCGCCAACGGAAAGCGATTGCAGATCCTCGGCCTCGTGCGTGAGGGGACTAGTTGAGCGCCGCGGAGCATCGCGTGATTACTTAAAAAAATTCGTTCGGTTCTCGTCACCCCGGTCCGCTATCCTACACACACCCGTGTCCCTTATCTCGCCCGCGATTATCTGTGATTCGTATAGGCATCCTGGCGTGGTGTTAGTCCGCCAAGGATCGGCGCCGGAATACGCGTTCCCTGGGGCTCTTTGCGCGCTCCGTCCCGCGCGTCACGCAAATACCACGCGAGGATATTCGTCCCTGTATTCATTCGCCCCGCGAGACTATTGAAATACATGTTCTCTTAACCATTATTAAAGTCTGGAGCAGTCCTTTTCTCTGTCGCTCTCCTAAGCCTTAAATCTAACGAACCGCTCCTCTATGAACCATTGTCGGAGCTGGTTAGCCGGCCTTCCGCGCCGTCGTTGTTCGCCCGTCCGGACCTTTCGCGAAAATCTAAGTTACTTCGAACTATCGGGCTGTTCGTCGGGAATCGGAGATAGCACTAGAATACGATATAAAAATGGTTCGCTCACGCGGGCCTGGCGCCCAACCCCGCCTACATCCGCGGGGACAATTACTATAACATCTGAAAATTACTTGTATCTCCGATAGCCCCGCGAGATTCTGCTCGACCCGGACGCGTGAACTCCCGACTATATTGCCTCGCACCTACGCGTGCGGTCGCAATACATATACCTGAATCACTATTATTGACGGTTGTGACACACCTTCACCTAATGCTGCTTAAAAAAACTTTGTCATACGGATGATCTCTAGTGCTGATATCGATTGTCTGTAATGACGTTTATGAATCTTTCCGTCATGTCCCATGAAGTTAGCTAAATCACCCACTTAATTTTCAGATAAATTTAATGTAATGCATGTTGTAGCAATATGTTTGTGTAATTCAGTGCCCCTTAATGCATGTGGTATCTGTGCACCACATTTTTTAGAGAAATACCACATAAGGACATGAGGCTGAAGCTAGCTGCCACTTCTAGCGGCTAGATCCGAAAAGCCAAGGGCGAATAAGGTGCGGGACTCCCGACCGGCAAGTCACACGCATGGTGGTAGATTTTCAAAAAAATTCGGGAATGTCGTTTGGGACATCGGAAAACCAGTACACCTTGGAATTTTTTTTTAAATAAAATAAAATAACTTGAAGCAGTTGGCCCAGAGCCCGATAATAGAATCGTCTGTTTGTAATTGATAATCCGAGTGAGAACCCGATATTAGTATTAACCAAGGATAACGACGAGGACGTTTCGGGATACTGGCCTCATTTTTGTACTTTTTTGGGTTTTTATTTTATAATTTTTTTTAGTTTTTATTTATTATTCTTAAATATTACGTTTAATACTGTTTTAACATATGAGAATGAGATCACAATACCTAATATCTAAGGATTTTGTTCGCATTTGACGTTCCGTCTGTTTCGCGTCGTAGGTTTCTTTTGATCGCTGATTAATATCAGATTTAAGAATGCGCATAATTCCAAAGTATTGTTACGTCCGGTAGACTCCACGATTTTTCCGTTCGCGAACGTTCGCTCAGATAAAGGGCTTAGAATAAGATAAAGGTTATTGATCATCAATTGATGGACAAACATTGACTCAACGAGATTGACCGTTGTCTGTCTCCTTGGGAAGATTTATTTCAAATAACATTATAACAACAAACAAAAGAATATTTCTAATAGAAGAATTTCGAAAACAGATACAACCTTTTTTTTGACCCGAGCAGTAAAATCCGATTTTAAAATGCGCCCAAGATCCATATGTTTCAAGATAACAAAAATAAATATTGTCTAGACATACCGTCGCAGCGGAACTATAAAATCTGACCTTCAGCCAAGGGGCGATGATTCACGAACCGGCACAAAAGGATGTAATAAAATTTCATCTCAAAACAAACTCTAGATTTCTGAAATTTCGTAAGAAGAGAAAATTATCTCCTCAGAAAAAAAAGTGTAACGTTTCGCGTTACTACGCCCGTTAATTCCTGCGCCCTGAGGTCCGGCGCCACTGCAATGCGCTTCTTGGTGGTGGGGGCCGCCCACGCGGGTGCCGCGTGGAGGGGGACGCTCGTCGGTATATAAAGGCCGACCGGCGCAAGCCGGGTTATCCAGTCCTGTCTCGGCTCCTGTCCCGACAGTCCCGTCCGACTCCTTCCTTCCCGTCACTCCTCGTCGAGAGTACTCGACACCGGCCTCGGCCCATCTGGGAGATCCGGAGCGTGCTCCCTCTCCATCGGGACTACCCGATTCAGGTCCAGTGCAACGGGGACTCTGTTCCTTGCATTCGGACAGTCATCGGAGGAGGTCTTCCTCCTTCGAGACATATCCTCGTCGAGAGTACTCGACACCGGCCTCGGCCCATCTGGGGGATCCGGAGCGTGCTCCCTCTCCACCGGGACTACCCGATTCAAGTCCGGTACCAAGGGAACCTCGGTTTCTGGTATACGGACAGCCGTCGGAGAAGGTGTCCCTTCTCCTAGGCAATTCCGCCGCGAAGAGTCGTACACACCGGGATGTTCTTTATTTGATCTGCTAACAATGTTTTTCCGGTTCCAGATTAAGCCGTATCCCGCTCCCTGATCCAAGGTATCCCGATGTCGCGGGATTCCTCCTGACCCCGTCCCCCTCCCCTTGTACCAGTGTTCAGCCGTTACCCAGTCCGTCCGCCGGATAATTATAAGATCCGTCCGCCGGCGTTTAGGTTAAGTTCCGCCGTTAGATTAAGTTGTTCTGTCACTAAGTTAAGTTTTGTTGTTCCGTTCTTAATTCTTAAGTTACCGCGAGTAAGAATCGTTCCGGAAATCTCGTAACTCCCTACAGGTGTTATTTTCATTATGTTCTAGACCACTTTTTCTTTTCTCTAAATAAATATTAATTTGCTTTATAATCCAGTGTCTCCTTCCTTTCTCGAGCCCTGTCCCGGCGAGCTAATCCGAGCAAGAAAGGTCGACCGTTACAAAGGTGATTTATCTGTTTTCAACTATCAAAACCCCAACCGGAATTCAAGACCTGATATTGATAGCAACTAAACTGT